AATTCAAAGGCAAAAATGTGTTTGAATTCCTTCAGCAGAAGGTGCAAGCTTGCACCCAAAGTAGCATGAGCAACCGTCCCAACCTTAATAGTACGTTCTGGACGGTTGTCATCCAGAACGAGATCAATTCTTTCGCCAGCCGGTTGGGGACGGAGCTCATCTGACCACTCACCGGTTAGTGATTGCTATTTTTTCTCCTTCTTCACCTCCACCAGCAGAGGTGCCTTTCTTTTCTTACCGGCTGCTGGTGGGGCAGGTGCTGGATCGGCATCCTTGACATTGTCAAGGTCTATTGGTTCCTGGACGCCTGGGGTTACAGTGTCCCTAACGGCTGAGAGGTAGCACTCCCGAGCTGTCTTCTGATCCCCATTCAGGGAACCAACAGTGCCATCATCCTTCTCATACTTGATGAGCATGAGAGATGGGATGATTACCACCTTGGCTACATTGAGGGTTGGCCTGCCAAGGATAATGTTATAGGCAGTCAACTCCTCAACAACCAAGAACCTGACAACAATATGTCGCCTTTGGCCCTTCTCTCCCAGCCGGATGGGTAAGTCAATTCTTCTGGCTGGGTAGACCATCCCATCCCCAGAACCAACCAAGGGGTGGGTGACCGGATGCATGCTGGTGATATTGTATTTCAGCTTCTACAGGTACGGAGGCTGATGATGTCTGATGAGCTGCCGGTGTCAATAAGGATTCGTCCAACCAGCTGGTCGGCAACCTTACATTCAATGACCACTGGGTCATCATGCGGGCGGCGGACGCTGCCCCTGTCCTTCTCAGTGATCAAGACGTCTGGGAAGGAGGAGCTGGCTTCCGCCTACTCATCATCATCTTTGTCCATCTTTCGAAGATGGCTCTTAGTGCCCCTTATGGTAGGGCCACCACATGAAAACCCGCCTTCTATAGTGTAGACCGGCTCCTTTTTGGTATCCGAACTACTAGCAGGCTGGGGGGTAGTCTTGGAGGACTGACCCTTGTTTTTCTTTTTTGCCCCGATTGGGGACTTAGAAATATAGGACTTCAGCATCCCCTTGTCAGCCAGACGGTCCAACGTCCGCTGTAGGCTGAAGCAGTCGTTGGTGTCATGGCCAACTTCCTCATGATATTGGAAAAATTTATTTTTGTTCCTGGATTGAACGGAACTTTTCATTGGATTCGGCTTCTCAAGGGACAGCTGGTCCTTTATCTCCATGAGGATGAAGTTGTAGTCCTTGTTAAACTCGTACTTTGGGACGTACGGTTTAAATTCTTTCTTCTTCTTCTGGGACGGCTGGTCAGAGTCACTAACCGCCCAAACCTCTTTTCTCTTCTTGCTCTCTTCTTTCTTTTTAGCCGGCTGAGCAGGTCGGTTGTCTTTCTGCTTGTCAGACTTCTTAGAGTCCGACTGGCTACCAGGCGAGCAGAGGTCGGTAGCTTGAATATAGCTTTCCGCCTCCCTCAGGGCCGCCTATAGGGTGAAATCCCCTTTTCTGACTAGGTCGAACTTAAAGGTCGACCCGTCTCTCAGACCTTTGAAAAAGTCTGTAAAAGCTACCTCATCAGACAACCCCTGAATCTGAATTCTGATCAGGTTGAACCGCCTGACATATGAGCGCAGCCCTTCTCTCTCTCCCTGCTTAACAGTGCTCAAATCAAGGCTTGTTTTCTTAGCTGGGATGTTCATTGAGAAGTTGGAAGCAAACAGGAAGGCAAGCTTCCTGAAGCTGTCTATAGACCCGGCTGGCAGGTTGCCAAACCATTGTTGGGCAATGCCCTTCAATGTAGCTGGGAAGCATCGACACCAAGTGGTATCATCCAACCCCTGCAGATACATGAGGTTGGTGTAAGCCATGAGGTGATCTTCCGGATTGGTGGTACCATCATAGGTACCAACCAACACATTCTTAACCTTGGCCGGCTGAGCCGCCTCGGTTATCTCCCGAGTGAACGCAGAAGGTTGTTCACCCAGGCGCAGCAGACGAAGCTGCCAGTCCAATGGCTGGACATTTGGATATGCTGTCTGACCCCCAAAGAAGGTCGGCTGCATGAAGTGAGGAGGATACTGCCCGTAAGCCTGAGTAGGCACATACGGGGCAGCTCCAATCATATGAGGGCCGGAATGGACGGTATTACCGTCGGTCTGACTCTCATGCAAGGAGGGTGCACTCCCTGCAGAAATGCTGTTGAAGCTGTTTGGAAAATTCGACGTTGAAGCCGACTCAGACAGCGATTGGTTTCTCTTCCGGTTGATGATCTCCCGGGCATCAACAGTTGATTTTTTACTTCTCACCGGTTGCTGAGTCCGGCGAGTGTTATTGGTGTTCCTCCCAGGAAGGAGAATTTTTGACCAATCAATGGTCCCGGCTGCCTTCTCCTTTGGATGGGGAGTGGGCTGCCGGTTTCTGACTAACTTCCCCTTCTCTGGAGGAGTCTTCTTTGCCGTCTGGCCTTTACTTGGGCCAGCCTGGCTCTTGGTGATCAGCTCTGTGATTTCACCCTTGAAACTTGTCATGAATCTCATGAGTTCGTCTCGAGTGACAGGGGCTGATCCAGCGGCCGTTTGGGTGTCCCCTTTCGGCTGCCCAGAGGGTCGAATTGGACCCGCCTGGGAGGCACCCCGCTCCAGAGTGTCTCTGGGCCGGATGCGTTTAGTTCTGAGAGAGTCGTCTTCGGCTATAAAAGCTTCGACCTGAGGGTCTTCATCCTCCTCATGGTCTGTAAAAACTTCTGGGTCTTCACCCAGACGGTTAGGGGGTACAGACTCTTGAACCATTTTTGAGGTACTCTCCCCACAGACGGCGCCAAATGTTTTGGGTGTTTTTTTCCCTTGGGAGAGTTACGTCACGAAGTCTGATCCGGCTGGGCTGTACCTGCAAAACAACGGAGACCCCGGGTGGTTGGAGCTCCGCCTCCGACGATCAAGTCAGTAACTGGAAACGGAATAGAGAGAACGGAAATTTAGGTGGATATCTGCTCGGATTCCAAGCTCAGGTCTTTTTCTGATGAAAGAGAATAAGGGTGTAATAAATGATTTAATGTGTCCCCAAAATGGGGGAATATCTCCCTATTTATAGGGTCGTTGGAGAATGTGCCCCTATCTAGGTCATTTGACCTAGACTTTAGTGGGTTACGCCGTTTTACGGCGCTCTTAGGGATTTAGGCCCTTGAAGGCCGCCATTTAAGAGGCATATCTGAGGGCGCCAAGTGTCAAGAGGATGTTGAGCCACATGGGCCATCCTGAGCTCGACACGTGGCCTTCTCTTATTGGGACACCTGTCTAGGGTAATTTTTACCCTAAACACTAGCCTACCTCTCTTTCAAAATTCTTTCCTTAAGCACTCCAAGGAGTCCGTACTTTACTCGAGGTTCTGTCCTTAAACCAAGGCGTGAAAGGTAGAACTTTTTGAGGGTTTGGCCCAAAATCAACTCTATTTAACTTAATTTTATTTTAATTATTGTTTTATTTATTTCCTTGAAGTTACTAACTCGTTTATTGTGTTATATTTGCAAGCAAATAAAATCAAAGTAAGAATTATATTTATTTTATTTCTATTATTTTTCTAACGATTTTATATTGTTGGATTTATTGTTAAATTGCTTCCAATATTAATGATTATTCTATTATTATTATTAATCACCATATTGCATGTAAAAGGGAATATGTAATTGAAAATCATGTCTAATAAGATAATTTGGACGACCGGTTTAGCTTCCTTTTTAATCTAGTTATTAATCAAAGTGATCACTAATATTTTAGAATTATGTGTTGCATAAATATACAACCACTTTAGCTTAATAATAGTTTAGATTAAATTGAATCTTTGTTTGCTTGCTTTTGAGATTGCAGGAATCACTTTTCATAATAAGAATCGAGTAGAGGCCAAAACGGGTGAATGTGACTCCATGACTCACTTCGTACCATCATCCCCGATCCTCTTTTCGTGGTTCCGAACGTATGGAGTTAGTAATCTCATGAATTATGAATGGGGTGTAACCTTCACGGGTCAATCGTTGTTGCCTATCGTTGTCCCTTTATTCGTGGTTGCCTTTTATGATCCGTGAATGGTTTACAAGTTCCTTAAAAACTTGTTGGCGGCTCCCTACTTTCCTTGTCCCTAATCGTATTATGTCAATTCCCACTTCCTATGAGTTTCAAGCATATTCACACATGTTTTAACGTAGGCACACTTCGAATGACACCTACGGTTAGTAATCTCAATGATATTGCATATATTTTAGCCCTATATTTGATTTTTTTTGTAAAATTTGAACATTTCGTAACTCATCCCTTTTAGACTTAAAAGACTACATCAAAAGGAATTTCGCAAAAAATTATACTCCGTAATTTTAAAGTCAAACCTGCTTATCATTTGCTGCTACACACTAAATTTCAGCTTTTCCACCTGTTTTACTTCCTGGAAAAGCCTTTTAAAAAATAAAAATGCCTTTATAAATCGGTAATTCCCAATTTCCCTTCTTGAGAAACAAGAAGAGGATCTCTTAAGGGTATTTGTGTCCAATTCTGTCTTAGTACAAGGGTAATACGGACGAGGAAGTACAAATGGAGGATTGTGAGACAAATGCAAATGTCTCACAACTATTAAAATAACATAAAAGTAAAAAGAAGAGAGAGTAAGGAGGAGAGAGATAGGAAGAGTGAAAAAGGTGGTGTGGACCTCACTAAAACTTTTAGTATATTTTGTACCACTGAGGATTTTTATAAGTACCACTAAAATCGCATTGAGTACCACTAGGAGTGTATTTTGTACCACTGAGCTGTAATGGTATTATTTGACAGTCTAATTAGACATTTGAACCTTTTTTTAAATACCATTAAAATTATATTTTGTACCACTGAAAGTGTGTTTTGTACCACTGAATCTAAAATGGCAAAATTTAAATTCCGCATAAAATAACCAATTTACCCCTGTGAGACTCTTCTACATCTCTTTCAACCCTCCGTTCATATAACCTCAATACGGACCATGTGAACTGAGTCAGCAACTGGGAATGGACATGTCATTTTGACGCCCCATTCAACGACGTTAACGCGGAAAATAGTTACCCTCCACCTGGTAACTCAATTACTCACTCAGTTTTACCCTCCCCTCTGGTAACTCAATTACCCATTAACCCCTATTAAATTTCCTTCCATTAGAATCGGCGGATCTAGAAGTTTCGGGTGTAGGTGTCGTCGGGCGATGTTGTTTGTGGATTTACTCGGACTAGGCTGCGCGGATCTGGTAGTGTAGGGTTCGGGTGTCGTCGGATTAGTTGTTGTTGTTTGCGGATTTACTCGGAGTAGGCGGCGGTTCTTGAAGCGTCGAGTTCGGGTGTCGTCTGAGTAGGCGGTGTTGTTTGCGGATGTACTGGAAGTGATTGGAGAAGAACGGCTGTGAAGCTGGTGTAGCTGGTAGGGTGAAGCTGCTGTAACAGAAGCCGTAGTTAGTCTGTAAGTTCCCTGCATCCTTTTTTTTCAATTGATCAGCTGTGTTACTAATTGTAATGGTTATTGACTTTGAGGTATATGCTAATTGCTAGGCTTATTATATTATTTTGGTTTTGTTTGCTCACTTTTAGAATTTTTAATTTATGCATGTTTTGTTGAATTAAGGTGTGAGTTATTTTGAATTACAATTTACTGCAGTTTAATGATTTGGGTTTTGTTGGGGCAATTAGGATTGGTTAATTTATTCAATTAAGGATCGAATTGTTGTCGAGTACGATAGGATTTATTAATACTAGGCCTATGAATTGAATATAGCAATTGGTGGGTGGTAGAATAACCGATTTTTGCTTGCTGACTTTAATTTGTATGTGTTAAATATAAACATTGTATAGGTTATTACTATTTCAAATTTGTACGAAAATCAATAAGAGTAGACATGTTACCGATTGTATGTGCAGGACGATGTCGGTAGATAGGATCACTGGTAAACGTAAGAGCACTGTGTATGAAGAATCTGTGGTGAGTAATTGTTTTGCTATTGTAGTGGAGACAGCAGTTATTATAGTGTATCGGAACTTTGATTTTTGTTGAGGTTTTCTGTGTGTGTAGGTTGGTGATACTGATGGTTCTCAGTTGAAGAATGATAAGGTGAGGTGTGCAAGTTTTATGGTTTGTGTTTAAGGTTTGTGTGTATGGATTATGCTGTGTTACCTGGTTTTGCTTTGTTTTCTGACTGTATCACTTGTTACTAAATGTAGGAAGTAGTCGAGGTTTCCTTTAATAAGGCTATCCGAAAGATATTGACATTGCACCGTAATCTATTTAAGGTTTGAACATGTGAATGGGATTATTTTGTGATGTTGTTTATTGTTTCAGTATGTTTGATTGTGCTCTACACTACTCTGTAGGAGATAACATAAGTGTTGGAGGCTGTGTGAAAGCTAGAGCAGAGGTGATTTCATGGCGTAACAATTGTTGTGGCAGGGTCAGTGAAATCCGAGTTTATGCACAATTTGTGATTATTGTGTTTCTACGTATTGTTTTTTATTGATGTTGTGTTTCATTATATCTGCAGCCTCCTAATATGAAATGCCGTGTTGAATCATTTGGTAGAATTTGTCAAAAAATTGATGAGCGTAGGAAACGATGGGTTAATAAAATAGGATTTGGGGGCTTGTTGCACCTTGCGTTTGATATGCATTTGCCTCGGCAATTGTCTTACTGGGTTATGACTCGCATTGATTCGATTAGCCAAAAGATGATAACTTCCGGTAGAGAGTTTAAGCTCTCAAAGAACCAAGTGAGGTGGGTTTTAGGCATTCCAAATGGTTCTAGAAGTGTTCCGACCACTAAAACCATGACTAAGGAAGGGCGTATGAAAGTTCAAAATATGCTTCTACGATATGGGAAATCATGGGAATATAAGTCCAGTAAACCCTGTGGTAGGGTGTATACGTCAGTTAGTATACCAGTTACCGGGGAGATGATAGATAGGTTAGAGGGAAACTTTGAGGAAAGTGAATAAGAGGTGATAAGCCTTATTATCACGGGTTGAGAGAAGCATTTTAGGGTGTGTTTTGATGCTTTATATGTACTTTTGTTAGCTTTTGTGAGTTTTGGGCTGTGATCTCACTTATGTGCAAAAGGCGGGATTTATGAGTATAAGTGAGTGAGTGAGCTCGGGAACCAATGAAGAGTTATGTAAGAAGGATGGACCTTGGCTCGTGATTTGAGAGTTGTGATGGAGCATGGAAGAGCAAGGAAGAAAGCTTGAGGAAAAGGTGAAGCAAAGCAAGAAGAAGAAGCAAGGAAAGAAGGCAAAAAAACAGCAGGAACCGCTGCCAGGGCCGCTGGCAGCTGGCCAGAGCCGCTGGCAGCGGGTATACCAGAGTGAGGGGCTGCCAGAGCAGCTGCCAGCGGGTCCAGAGCAGCTGGCAGCGGCTCTGGCAGAAATTCGGGCTGTTTTGGTTAATTTTCAGCAATTTGGCTTTGTTTTGGCTCGTGTTTTGGATATTATTTTATTATTATTATTGTGTTATGTTATTAAAATATAGAAACATATAAATAGCTTAGTTTTAATTAAGTTTTAGAAGAGAGGAGAGGAGAATTAAGTTTTGAGAAAAAAAAAGCTTTCTAGGGTTTTCTTGGAATTTTCAGAATTCTTTGTTTTGGAATTAGAATCCATGGAAGCTTAATCTTCCGGATTCTTGGTTAAAGATTGAAGCTTTTGGCTACGAATTGTGAGATCTTTCTTCTCTTAATATCTATTGAATATATATTGTTCCTTGAATTAATTTCATGATTTGCTTTAATCAATTGCTAGGTTAGAATTATTGGATTCGCTTGCATCTAATTAATCTTTCCAAAGTAGCAACTTTAGGTTATTGATGCATGCTTTTGGTTGATAACTTGAAGAGGGAATAATATTATTGAAGAAATTAGACCGCTTGTGTTAATTTATTCAATCCTTGTTGATTTCTCCGTTTATTTTCTTCTTGTGGATAATTTAGAGCGCTTGTCTTGAATTGTGCATTGGAAAGGGTTAGAAAGGAGCGCTTTGCTATTTCTAACTATTTATGAGAATTTAGAATCTAGGAATTCTACAACAAGGTGTTCAATAGAGCTTGATTGAGGAGACTTCTATGATCAATTTGTATGTTCATTAGTGGATTTCGCATAACCAAGACCGTTCTTCTCATTGATTACCTATTCATTACGTTCGTTGTTCTTACTTAGTTCATTTATTATCATTGCTCGTGAAAACCCCCCTCGTTACTTAGGTTACTACCGTCATAGAGTATTTCCACTTAGGTTTCCAGTTATTAGTCCCTTTTTCCCTGTGGATTCGAACTCGACTTCCCTAACTACGTTTATTTGCAGTTAGCTTAGTTGTGATATTTTTGGTTGCATACGACTGAGGCACACCAAGAGGTTTTCAAGACCTTTTTTTTTATTGTTGCGTTGGAGATGGTATTGTGCCCAACACAATCACCCAGACTTGCAGCTGATCTTCTTCCTGCTATTAGCTATGCAATGGATGCGGTTCAATATGACTGGTGTGGTTTGGTCCTTTCCAAATTCATGGACAGCGTGACCACCTTTGCCCGTCGGTTTTACGCAAAAGGATTTGCTAGTGGCTGTGGTGGATGCGCAATATTTTCTATTGTATGCCTCTTTAACTCTCATTTCCCTAATTCAGTAGTGTATTTGTTTATACAGCTTTCTAATCTATTTTTTTTGTGACAGATATTCTATTTGGATAGGTTGGATAGAGATCCTGTGGATTGGGATGCATTTCCTAGAATTAAGGTTTGGAATATGAAACAGATAGGTATGGCAGCTAAGTGTGACAAGTTAAGTTCAGGGGACTATGGGAACTTAGGGGTAAGAAATATGTTGATTTGTTTTTTATCTGTGTTATGACAATGTAGTTTTTTATTTGTTCTCTTTGACAATGGAAAAAGGTTGCAGGTGTTGGATGTTGCGTATGGGGAGAAACACCCGAGAGATGCACGGGATACCGGAGGTCCATCCTAACATGGAATCCTGAATGTAAGATGGTGTGATGTTGGTTTTATATGCCTGTTGTATAAGTATGTGTTTGTTCCATGACATATTGCGGTGTTTGATTAGTAGGAATTACCACAATCTGTAGTTGGATTTACGTCTCGGCAAAGGAGGGGTTGTCCACCGACGCATGAATAGTATTGGTTTAAATTCTTTTTCCATTCTAATAATCAGTTTTCTCAATTTTCGTTTGTGTTGTTTTACGTAATAATCTTTTTTAATAATCATCTCTTAATAATCTGTTTGTGCACTAATTCATAACAACAATTTTCTAATGAGCGTTGTATTGAACCTGTAGTTGATTAACTTTCATGGCTGTAATTTTAGGCCCACTAGGATATTATTATGTTGGGCAACTACAACTGGCCACTTGAGATCCATTAGGTTCAGAAAATTATGTTGTATTTACGTTAGCAATGGTTGAGGCCCAATATCATGTATCCCAAACACACAGTTGTTGAAAATTTTACCCTACACCCTAGTGTAGGGTGTGTTCCCTACACCCCCCCTATGCTACGTCGTTTTGTAGCTGGTATTGAGTTCCCTTTTGCGATTCTTTCCTTTTTTTTTTTTTTTTTTTTTCCTTTTTTTCTTTTTTTCTTTTCTTCCTCTTTTTTCCTTTTTCCTTTGATTCTTATTATTCAATTTATGTATATATATGATTTTAAACCCTATTTTTTCTCTCTCTTCAATTGATCAACCAACCTCCATTTTTGATCTACATTTTTCTCTCGCTAATTCATCTTCTTCATTTGATTTTTTGAACGAATTCGTTAATTGTTACCGATCATCAATGGCGAATTCTGCATCTGGAGATTGCGTTGATTTTGATCGCGATTGCGAGCGTGTGTTTCCTTCTGGACTTCGTTTCGTTGATTCGTTTGTGCAACAATGTGAGTAATTGTGATCATAATTTTTCAATTTTTAATTATCCCTAATTTGTTCTGTTATAATGCTCTGTTAATTTGAACTTAATTGATGTATTATTATTCACTTTCGATTTTTGAATTTACTACTTTGATTACATTATGATGAACGTTTTTGGATTGTTGTACTTTGTATGAACATTTTGTTGCTTCATTTGTTGTTTCATTTGTTGTTTTCTCTGTGTTTTAGAATTGTGTGTTTTTGTCGTATATTTTGTAGATTATACTTTCAATTAATCGTTTATGTTTTCTTATTCATTGTTACTAATGTGTTTATGTTCAGTCTTAAAGTCATTTTTGATCATTTATTTTTACATTTTTATATCGATATTATGTGTAGTGGTAAATAATGAAAATATTGTTCAAAATATTATGTGCTGAAATTCTTTTTGCAATTGATCATGTGCTGTTTTGATATTGAACATTTTACTTATTTGTTATTGTTCATTCATGAAACTCTTTATGATCATTTATAATTGTATATTGTGCAGTGGAAAAAAATGATGATATTATGTATTTAGAAGCAGAACAGTCTGAATTAAAGGATAAAGAATTTAAATCTGAAGATGAAGCTTTCGAAGCGTATAATGAATATGCTTTTAGGAAAGGTTTTGGAATTCGAATTGGGAAGAGTAAGAGAAGAAGAGATGATTCTTTTTTGATGAAAAGATTTGTTTGTTGTAATGAGGGATTCAAAGATAATAAGTGTAAGAATAAAAGGATTTATGAGAAGTTGGATCATCGAACTGGTTGTTTAGCTTTTGTGCAGTTTCATATTGATCATTTAGGGGTCTATACATGTACAAGACATGAAATGGTTCATAATCATGCTATGATTCCTCCTGAAAAAAGGCATTTGATAAGGTCTCAAAGAGATGTGAATAAAGAGCAGCTTCTTTTCATTTCAACAATGAAATTGAGTGGAGTCAAAGTTACTGATTCTTTGAGGGTTCTAAAGAAGGAGGTTGGGGGATCTCCTAATCTTTGTTTTACTGCTTCTGATGCTTATAATGCATTGTCATCTGAAAAAGCTGCCCAAATTGAAGGATGTGATGGTAACCAATTGATTAAATATTTTGCCAAGAGACATGTGGATGAGACAGATTTTTATTATGATTTTGAACAAGATGATAGTGGTGCTTTAGTTAGTTTTTTTTGGCGTGATGGTAGGATGATGAGAGATTATCATTACTTTGGAGATTTGTTGGTTTTTGATACAACTTATAGAACTAATAAATATGGAATGATATGTGCTCCATTTGTTGGGATGAACCATCATGGTAACAATGTCATGTTTGGTATGGGTTTTATTCTTAATGAGCGCACCGAGTCTTTTGATTGGTTGTTTGATACATTTTTGCACTCAATGGGGAGGAAAAGTCCCATTACAATTATGACTGATCAAGCACAAGCGATTGCAGCGGGTATAAGAAACATTTTTCCTTCAACTGTTCATCATCGTTTATGTGTATGGCATCTTGAACAAAATTCTAAGAAACACATTGGAGCATTGAGAGCTTTGGAAGGCTTTACAGATTTGTTTGGATATCTTTTGAAGTATTGTGAAACTCCTGCTGAATTTGAATATTTCTGGAAAAGGTAAATTATTGTTTTTTGTATTTATTTTTTATTTTTATTATGTGATATATTTGATTATTATGTGATATATATATGAACATTTAGTGTTTTACATATGATCATACAATTTACTTTGTTATGTATGTTATCATAATATTATTAGTGTCCATATTGTTTATGATCATTATTCTTTACACAAATGTACATATTTTAATTTATATTTTGTTCATTTTTAAATTAATATATGATCATTTCTGTTATACAGGATGTGTGATAAATACAAATGTGAAAATGATGATTGGTTATGTGATTTGTATAAAATAAAGGAAATGTGGTGTCCTGCTTATTCTAAGAAGTATTGGTCTGGTGGTATATTGTCTTCTCAACGTAGTGAAACTACTAATAAGTCAGTTTCACAACGTCTTAATAAGACTCAAGGTTTATGTGATTTTTATCATGTTTTTCTTGATGTCATTTCTGAGTGGAGAAGTAAGGAAGGTGCAAGAGATTACAATACTCTGCCAATCCTTTTAACTGATAGAAAAAAGAGTAAAAATTGTTTAGAAGTTTGTATTGTGATGAAGACATGAACAATTAATAAAATATAATTGATCATGTAGTCAACTATAAATGAACATATTATCTCACCATCATTTTTGGTTGTTCTTCATATTTTGCTTGGACTGATACCTTTTTTGGTAGTTTTCTATTGTCAATTATATGAATTTTGTCTTCTATATGATTGACGCACAACAGAAAAAAATGTTGAGAAGTTGATACTGGGAAGAAGACCTGAACAAATTATATAATGTTATTGGACAATATATTGAAGGTAATTGAACATTTGTATTAAACAAGAATTAATACCTGTTTATATCCAACAATGCTGTCAATTTTATTCAACTTCAGTTCATTGTCAATTCTTTCTATGAAGGCATTAATTCTTGTCTTCATTGATGATCCTTCTTGACAAACTCTATTTGTGCACATAATGTGTTGTTGAAATACAAACAAACATATAGAAGTTAAATGAATTTTTAGCAATTATTTATCATAGGAAAATAGAATCAATAATATAAAAAAAGAAGAAAGACTAACATGAAGCACTGTTGAGAAATAAATCTTGTTTCTCGGCTTTTTATGATTAAGAAACCTTGCCCATCCATCTATGACACAATTTGTCACTTCAACATCATCTCCAAGAGTTTTCATTTCATTTCTATTGATGAGATTCAAGCCATCATAGTATAAGAGTGCACTGCATTATGAACATTTAATAATATGAATGTGAACATATTTTTATAAAAGATATTAAACCTTAAGTTTAATTAGTGTAAGTAATTACCTTTCATCTTTTCCACCAAGAGCAAAGTCTACTGCAATTTGGTTCATGGCTTTCTCATCTTTAAACAGATCCTTGTACTTGACCAAGTAAGGAGATCGGAAAGCAGGAGGAATTGTTTTCTTTTCGCGTTTTGGTCTTGTTGTTCAATATAAAATATTGTTAAATTAAGAAAATTATGAGGAACATAAATGAACATTTGAGTGTATATAAATAAATTTGAAATTATACCTTTCAACCTTTTCCTTTTCAGTTTTTTTCTTCTTTTCTGCAATTGACTTTTTCTTATCATCATTCCTGGTCATATTACATAACACAAATGTACATTTAGGTATATGAAAATGTTCATTATTATTTTTGAACATTTACTTAATATAAATAATGTACCTTTTTGTGACTTTTGAGGATGAAGCAACAATCTTCTTGTTTTCACTGAAAAGTGAAACAATGTCAGTACATATTAATAAAATAAAAGCTTCTTATGTAACACCCTGAATCATTTTCAATTCATAAAATGAAAGATATTGATTTAACATAAACCTATTGATTTAACATAAACCATACATTCATATTACATATTCAACAAAATAATGTTCACACATACAATAGTTTGAGAAACACCAGTTTCAAGTTACAACACGATAGTAACATAAGTTAAATTGTTCCATCTAGATATTTTATCCTACACCATTACATAACCCTAATAGTAAGACATGTCTTCAGGATTTTACCCCTCCACTTTTTCATCATTTTTTGTTTTTTCAAAAACATCTTCCTTGTTTTGTTTTCCACCTCCAACTGTGTTTTTTGGATCATCACTTTTTTCACCACCATCTGACCTAGGGTCAGCATCAACCACTGAACCAGATCCTGCATCTAAGAAAAAATTTAATTAGATATAATATAATTTCTTTGTAAATGAACATTTGAGTATTTATAATTGAACATTATACCTGTTATAGGCAATCCTTCATTATCTGACCTAGTGTCAGCATCAAATTTTGAACCAGTTGCTGCGTCTAACAAAATAATACAATTAATAATGAATATTTCTTGTTTGTAAATGAACATTTTACACTTTTTAATTGAACATTATACCAGTTCTAGAAAATTCTTCAATTCTTTGTTCTGAAGCTGCTGAAGTTTTACCCACATCCTTTTCTCCAGCTGTATTATAAATCATCATTTTGGAGATACACTAAGTTAATAGTATTTACACATAATAATTAGAAATGAACATTTCTACTTAAGTTTATGTACATTATTATTAAATATATGAACATATTACCATTTGTTGAAATTATTGGTTGTTCAATTATATCACCAAGTGTTGAAAAGGTGGGCCCTGTTTCTGTTTAGGACAATTTAGACCACAAATTTAGAATTTTTCATATAAAAATTAGGATATATAGTCTCTTTTAGTTAGAATTTACCAATGGCTGGAGAAGGTGGAGTCAACCCCAAGCTGAAAGCTTTTCTGATGTCATATTCTTGTTCTTTTTCCTTTCCCTTTTTGGTTAATTTCTTCCCAGTCATTTGCTTCTCAGTTGTTTGCTTTTCAGACCCTTGCATCAGATTCTTCTCAGCTTGTGCAAGTGCATTTAGGAAATCCTCACTGCCAAAGAATTCTTCATCTTGGCTTAGAATTGATGGTTCCCTAGCTACCACCTTTCCTAAAACTTCATCAACTTTTTTCACCAAGTCATTTCCAGGGAAGATATCCTTTGCCTTCACCAATTTTGAAGAAAGCTTTGACAGGTTTGAACAAGTTGTTTTTACCAGGGAAACAAAATCATCCATAAAAACCTATATGAATGAATATTAAAAATTATGCAGTTGAACATTTCAGATTATACAAATGAACATTTATGTTAACAAAAGTGATCATTTTATAACCTTAGGACTTTCTTCAACTTCTGCAGCAATCCTTGGTAGAATTTTCCCTCTCCCAAATCCCAATTCTAATTCAATCTTCAACCTCTCAAGAACCATGTCTCTATTCCATGCAGATATGATAGGAATTTTTCTTGGAGGCCTTTTGTCTAACCTCTGAACTCTATCAAAATAGAACAACTACAAGAAAAAAGAAAACATGGAACAGAACATAAACAATAAAAAAAGTGCATTTATTTAAATTTAAATGAACATCTTGTATCTAAGAATATACCATCAGAAATTGAAGAGGGCCTTTGTAGAACCCCTTGCCTTGCTGCTTTCTCCAATCAACATGACATTTGATAAGTGAGTCATATACAAACTGACACCAGTTCAAATTTTTTATGTTTTCTTTGTCCATCATAGAATAAAGAAATTTGAAATGGCATTGATTGTTTGATACACATTTCATCAAGCAGTTCACAGCCACTGCTAAAAAGTTAGTAATGAAATGTTCACTTGGTGGTCTGTTGTTGGTGAATTTATCATTTATGTATCCATTCACAATCTGCAAACAAAATGAACAAAACATTTATACTTTTGATCATTTAATGTATTTAAAATGAACATTTAAAACTGATCATACCTGACTCACTGATGGAGTTTTTCCTGACCATGATTTTCTCCATTTCTTCAGAAATTCTGCATACTCCTCACTAATTTTATCAGACTTTGGCTCAACAATTGGAATTTCTCCTGTAGGCAAGCCATAAACTACCCTAACATCCTCTACCTCAATTTCTATTTTTTCATTCTTTGGTAGTTCAAAACACTGGCTATTTTCTTCAAAACTTCCCAATAACCAGTTACAGAACTTTTGATCAAGTTGAGGTAAACTAATGTCAAGAAGTGATCCTAACCCTATATCAATAATTTGTTGTTTTTGGGTAGGTGTCATCTTTTTTATCCATGCAATGAACTTCACATGTCCTCCTCTCTTTGAAGATTTCTCTTCCTCAAATTCATCTTCCTGAATTTCCTCAACTTCATCAGTTTCTATTGCTTGAACCATTTCAGTTTTCATTTTCTTTTTTCTCCTACCTTCAATCTTTCCTTCATCATACAGTACCATCTTTTGCTCCTCCTTTTCAACCTTTGCCTTCACTGAATTCCCTTTCTTTGCCTGTTTCTTCCTTGGCTTTACTTCTTCCTCTTCCTCCTCTTCCTCCACCTCATAATCATCCTCACTGACAGGCTCTTCTTCTGCTCTATAAACTGACTCTTCACTATCATCATCACTGTCAGTAGAACTTTCATCAGTAGGATCTTGAGAGGGTTCATCTGATGGTACTTCTTGTATTTTTTTTCTCTTTCCAGCATTTCTCTTGGCAGGACTGACATCTGAAAATTAAATATATAATTTTGTTTAAGTATTGAAAATGTACAGTAAGCAAATGATAAAATGAACAAAATTGTTTTCTCAAATGATCATTCTATATATAGAAATTGAACATTTATAATATATCATTATATACCTGCTTTTCTTTTGCCAGCAACCTTAGAAGTTTTCTTCACTTCTTCTAGAGTTTTCTTTTTCCCACCTATATATTGAAATTGAACATTAATGATATACCATCATAAATGATCATTCTATACATTAAGATTGAACATTTACCCTTTTTGCCTTGGTCTGGAGGATATTCAGCAGGAGCACCTGCCATTTTTTTTATTGGAGTAGGTGCTGGAGGTGGTGCATCAGCTTCCTTTTGAATAGGAAAATTCCTTGTAGACATTCTTCTCTTCTGTCCTATTTTTGCGGTTTCTTTAGCAGGTTCAACATCCTTCTTCAGGCTTCCCTTTTCAGATTCATCTAACAGAACATCTATTGTTTTTAAAAAAATTTATGTTAGTATATTTGAAAGTGTAATATTTATTGTGTAACAGAAAAGTATTATGATTACCTTGGCTCCTTGTAATTCTACCACTTGGCACAACAACAAGGCTTTTGTTTTTGTTTTTCCTTGCAACCATTTTGTATCTTGTTTTCATTTTGGTTGACTGATCACTTTTTTGTGATGATGGAGCTGTCTCCTCACTAAGTTTTGTGGAAACTTTATCATCATCTTGATCTAGAAGATAAGTTTCATCCTCAATTTGAACAAAATCAGGTGCAATTTGTGCTGCATATGAAATGATCAAATATAAAAGATTAAATAAACATTTATTAAATTGGATGACAAATGTTTACTATATACAATATAAATGAACATTTCAGGTAATGAATATGTACATTTTCCACTATTTACCTTTCGGATCTGTTGTCTTTGTAGACTCATCTTCCACTGTTTTCTCTTTAGGGATTTTCTCCTTTTCAGGCTCTTTTTTTCCCTCTTGTCCTTCTATGAAAATTTAATTAGTTAATATTTATATATTTTTTTAATCTT